AGTGGTAGCGATCGGACAGGTAGGATCTAAACCATCTTAAAGCCTGCCCTTGAATACCTGTATAGTTTTGTAATCGATTTATGAGTATGTTATGATCTATAGTGTCGAACACAGCACTAAGGTCAAGTAAAACTAGCAATGAGATGCAGCCTTGGTCTGACCCAAGAAGCAAGTCATTTGTAATTTTAACAAGTGCAGTTTATGTGCTATGATGGGGCCTGAACCCCGACTGAAATTCTTCATAGATATCATTTTTTTGCAGGAAGGAGCACAATTGAGCAGACAACTTTTTCAAAAATTTTAGACATAAACGGAAGATTTGAAATGGGTCTGTAATTTGACAGTTCACTAGGATCTAGTTGTGGTTTCTTAATAAGAGGCTTAATAACCGCCAGCTTGAATGGTTTTGGGACGTGACCTAGAGATAACGATGAGTTAATAATATTGAAAAGCGGTTCTTCTGCTACAGTAACTTCTGTAACAACTCTTTCAATCATTTAGTGGGTACAGGATCTAATAAACATGTTGTTTGTTTAGATGCAGTGATAAGTTTATTTAGATCTTCCTGTCCTATAGTTCTAAAGCACTGCAGTTTTTCTTTGGGTGCAGTGAATGAAGCTGAATTACAAAACGCTGTCGATTCTACATTTGTTGTAGTATTTCTGATGCAATCTATGTTATCAGTGAAGAAATTCATAAAGTCATCACTACTAAACTGTAAGGGAATATATAGTTCGGGTGACATCTGATTATTTGTTAATCTAGCCACTATGCTAAATAAAAACCTTGGATTATTTTCGTTATTTTTTATGAGTTTGCGGATATGCTCAGCCCTGGCAGATTTTAGAGCTTGTCTATAGCTGTACATACTGTTTTTCCATGCAATTCTAAAAACTTCCAAGTTAGTTTTTCTCCATTTGCGTTCAAGATTACGAGTTTCTTGAGAGAATGGGTATTGCTGTTGTACCATGGAGCAGTAAGTTTTTCTCTAACCTTTTTTAATTTAATGGGGGCAACAGCTTCTAATGTATTAGAGAAGATAGTGCCCATATTGCTAGTCATTTCGTCTAGTTCATATGTATTTATGGGTACAGAGAGCAGTTGAGATAAATTAGGCAGTTTATTTGTGAATCTATCTTTGGTGGTTGGAACAATAGTTCTACCTGGATGATAACTCGGAGCCATATACACTGAACAAAATTATAAATGCAACACTTTTGTTTTTGCCCCCATTTTTCATGAGCTGAACTCAAAGATCTAAGACTTTTTCTATGTACACAAAAGTCCTATTTCTCTCAAATATTGTTCACAAATCTGTCTAAATCTGTGTTAGTGAGCACTTCTCCTTTGCCGAGATAATCCATCCACCTCACAGGTGTGGCATATCAAGATGCTGATTAGACAGCATGATTATTGCACAGGTGTGAAAAATGAAAAATGGGGGAATGATGAAAAATATATATATACACACTGCCGTTCAGTGTCCAGGATCCTAGTACATCCCTACAACTTTATTTTTTATTCTATTCATATTCGTATACATTAGAGAAAGTCGACTTTCCTTATTGATCACGTCTTCCCTCAGGTAAAATGCACGTTTTCTTGCGTGGCTGGATGTTGGAATCACGTTGTTTGCATTCGTTCAAACTGATTTGCTGAAGTCGAAACACGGTCATTAAAAAAACCCAACTCCGTTAGCGCGATTCCTGCTCGCTGTGAAGCGGGAGCGACCAGCCGGCAGAGGATTCCGCTTGGTCTTAAAGCCTCCCTGGAATGGCTACGTTCACAAATCAAACACTTCTCAAATCGATACGTGGGAAGCGGTCCTGACATGATGATCGTCATCGCGGGCAATATGCTGCGTACCGTCTTGATCAGGCTCCTGAAGTCCCTCTTCAGTGTTTCCATCTGCCGCAGCTTGATGTCGTTAACCCACACGTGCAGCACGACCGGTCCTGCGTTCTCGTCGTCCTTCAGGATCGCGGGTATCTGCGCAGAAACATCAAGAACACAAGCACCAGAGAAACAGTGAGTGTGCACTTTACCTTTAGCAAGGGTAGCACGGACAAGCCTGACGTTTGAATCTCCGACGATCACAGCATCGCGTTCCGTCTCGCGGAGGGGAGCGAAGCGGTTCTGGGTGGAGATCTCGAAGACCAGAGGCGGCGGAGAGGGAGAGGTCTTCGCCCAGGGCTTGGCTTGCGTCTTCCGCTGCTGGTGCACCCAGGGTCCGTGGTGTCCCCGCGCTGGAGTAAAGGAGGCCTGGGAAGATCGCGTCCTGAGTGCACAGGGCTTGTACAGAGAAACAAACAGAGTAGAGGTGGAGGGAGTGTTAGCAGCATGCTGTATACTTACCCCGGATTTGTGAGCGTCAGCCTGGGATGTTTCCAGGGATGTCTCCACTCTCACAGCTGGGCCTGCTTCTCCACCAGGTCGCGGATCTGCTTCTCCAAGGCCTCCAGCTCGAGATGCACCGAGTGCAGCTCGAACACGTCCTCACCTACACTCAAAGGTAGACACAAATCTGTCATTTAACCCTCTAAGCGACAGTCGCAAAATTGCGACAAGACATCATACTTAATAAAATAGACTGTAGTTCCTAATATGGTGTAATATCTCATTTGTATTCCCTACCACTAGATGGCAGACATGTAGTACTTCGATTCTAGACCAAAATTATGTCACCTTCCTATTCATAGCAGAGCAAGTGAGCTATCGTGTCATTGATGCGGAAGCAGTTCAGTTCATAGCGTGCGAGTAAATTGTGAGATTTGTGAGAGAAAATCGGAAAATGGCTAATAAAAAGTTGTACCGTGAGGATGTGTTGCAAATGTTATTCGCCGATTCTGACTCTGAAGGGGAATATTTGCCTTTCGGAAATGACGATCGGTCGTGTAATAATCGCGCTTCTCCCGGTACATCTTTGCAGCGCAATGGTGCCGCCGTGCAAGTCGAGAGTGTTCACAAAGCACAAACAAGTGATCATTTCGACCCTTTGCCCAATGAGGATGGGGTGGCAGCGGTGGACGTGGTCGTTGTGTCCATAGGAGAGCTGTTGCTAGAGGTAGAGGCAGCAGGGGTAGGAGAAATAGGGCTGGAAGTAGCACTCGCTCTTTGGATCCAGTGAGAGCGCTCTGGATCCAGTGCCCCAAAGAGGTGGTAGTGGCCGTGGTACACAGTGCAGTCAGTGTGGGGTAGGTCTGTGCGCTGTGCCATGCAATGTGAGATACCATACTCTCAAGAATTATAAACTGTGTGACCTAGATACCTGATTGGGCAGATAGCTGGTCAACTGATCAAAAAATAGGCACATGCATTTTACTATGCCACAGTAATATAGTAATAATTTACTACTTTCTCCTGTTTTACTGTTGATTTCCTCTTTTCCTGATCATTTGGAATGAGGATAAAAAGACAAAAAAACATGCAAATATGTTCAAACATCCATTCAATATCTATTATTTCCTGAATATTATTGATGAACTGATCAAAAAGTAGGCTACTGTTCACATGTGTTTTACTAGTATAGTAATATAGTAATAATTTAGTACTTTCTCCTGTTTTATTGTTGGTTTCCTCTTTTCTGATAATTTGGAATGACGATAAAAAGACAAAAAAAAAAAAAAACGAGCAAATAAGTTCAAACATAAATTCAATATCTACTATTTCCTGAATATTATGAAATTCAAGATGGGCACCCCTAATGATGTCATAATATGCTAATTAGACAAGTATATTTACACCCCACATAAACTTTCGGTCATTCCCAACATTTTTCTAATTTACAGTAGATCTCTATCTTTAAGCCCTTTCAAGCCACAAGCTTTTGAAATCTTGATGTCAAAATCCAGCATTTTTCCAAAAATCCCTGGCGCCTAAAAGGTTAAAGCAAGTAACAGTAAGTAAAAGAATGGAGTTTAAGCAATGTAAGCAAAATTAGCGGCAACCGCATTAGCGATGCTAACGCTATAAGCTAGTAGCGGACTCGGCAAATAAAAATAAAACTAGTGATAACAAGGTGCTCCGATTGTTTTACTGCATCATCAAAGATAATCGCAGAAGCAGAATTCAGGTCGAACTACCTTCTTAATGTTCTCAATAATAATAATAATAATATTAATAATAATATAGGTCAAGCTACAGCTGATCAGCCTTCTAGCTAGTTACATTTTTTATTTTGTATTTTTTTACTTGCCCGACCGGACAAATGGCCTGATTAAAACATAAGTGACAAAAAAAATAAAATAAATAAATAACCAGCTTAACATCGAAACGCGAGAATGATTCTTCTAATTTTATTAGCCTACATTCAATGTAAACGGCGATTGATAATGGATAATCTATTTCTGGTATCAAGGTCGCGCTGTTTGAGGCTCGCTCTGTTTGTCTCTTTGTGAAAGACTTACATTTACATTTACATTTAGTCATTTTGCAGACGCTTTTAT